AACCTTAGCGCATAATCAGACGCATTCACGTTGGTTACTAAACAAATGTCAATCAACCATGGTTTAATAATCAAAGTGCAATTGTGCAATAACGATTTAAATATCTACGTGAATGTATGTTAACACAGCACTGGGACAGCAAACAGGGACAATCGATGGTATAAAAGTGTTAATAAAATCTTATTTATTTTCCAAAAATATAATAGAGATCTAAAATTGGTATTTATTACAAAACTTAGCTTAACTTTCTCATGTTGGATCACTAGATGCTCTGAAGTGGATTCGGTTAAAAACACAACTGCTTTGCATTTAATGTGCGTGTATGACGGCGAAATGTGTAGTTGACAGATGGGTCTGTCGGTTCGAAACTGCAGCAAACGAGTGCCTATGCTTGAGTCAAATTTTCTTGTGATGGCGATGGGTAGACGTATTTCTTGACATGATTGGATAAAGTAAACGTTGAGGCTGCCTTGCTAATGGCTGTTGCTGCACGTGGAGCTGGGTGAGTTGGTTTAATGCACAGAATTAAGCAGAAAGAGCATCTACATCAACGGAAAAACGGCACCCTGCACAAATACTGCACTTGTCTTCATCAGAGACGATTGCGGATGTAATTTGGATTGGTGAAGTTTGGTGTAGCGACGGATTAGGGTCCAGACATATGTGTCTCTCTGTGTTAGAATGGCATGCAATGCAGATAAGCAGCTAACCAGAGAAGGATACGAGTGAGATGCAGTATATAATGAGCGGCGTGGCCAGCGTGGCAGGTTCGGATGGACGGTGTCTGACGTATGGATCTGGCTCTTGATTGGTTAATAATGCCTGTTCTGTTGTACCAGGCTTCTGCATACTAGGGCTCGGGTATTCTACATTGGTGGCAACGGATGCGTTCTAATAACGCGAATGGAAATTCAAGCCTTTCCATGAAATAGTCAACCGAGGCGAAGATCCTTGAATGCCAGCTGAAGTTGTCATGGAGTTCCTCCCATTTCCCATGCACTGGATCCATAGACATTACCCGGGATTAGGACCGCTACATCTGAAGAGGCATTGTCAACTCAGTGACGGTGACATGGACAATAGAAGCCAGCTGGACTGCAAGTGGAGAGGAATCTATGATATATGAAGCGGCCTTCCTGCTTTTCTACAGGAGCAACGTCCCTCGTCAACGATTCGCGCTAGCCACATTCCTGCGAGATGTGTGGTGTCGATGAGTGTCGAAATGGGTTTATTAACAATTATGGACAATGCGGTGAACCAAGCCTGAAGCTAAGGACAGCTTTTCTCCTAAGAGGGAGGCAATGTAGTAACATCTGAGGACGCAGACATATTAGAGCACACTGGCCTCAGCCAATCCTCAGTCTCTCTGTGTTCCAATGGCATGCGATAAAGATAGACGGCCAACCAGGAGCAGTATACAATGCGTCGCGTGGCCAGCGTGGTATACTCGCATGGCCGGCGCCTGACCTGTGGTTCTGGCTTGTGATTAGTCAATAAAGCCTGCTCTGTTGCACCAGTTTCATTCATCCGAGGGCTCGTGTATTCAACACAGAGAACAAACTCCAGACACATGGGCAGCAGAATGGCGTTCAGGGATTCTTTCGCAGTGAGCTAATGAGAAGGTGTGTAGGTCTATTTTATGCCAACTCAATTGATCAGGACCTTGCCCAACCATTACAATGCATCAACTTGGAATTTATCACCTAAACCCATGGTAGTGGGATGCAGTATATAAAATGGATATACTTCAGCTAGCTTCCAAGTTGACAATCACTTCTATATTAAAAAACTGCTCTTAAACCCCAGCTTTCCACGTTTGGTTGGTTTCATTAGGAGTAGAGGCCAATTTGTGTTAGGCACCTAACGCATGGTCTTTTCACCACAGACAACAAGTGGCTGGACTGGCCCCAAACTCCTACTTACTTTTTCCTGTAACCAGCATTTTGCTTCCATTAGACAATTGTCAATGTAATTTTGGATTTCAAAGCCGAGTGTTTGATTCCACATGTGGCAATAATGATCTAGATTTCGATGTTAGCACATGTGCGGCTAATGCTCTCTCACATTTCTGACAATTAAAAAACCCACCCTAAGATGCAAAACGCAAA